TATAAGGTACCCATAGGCCCCATAGTAGTTCCTTGTTGGGGTTACCTTGTGGGATTCTAAATATGAACCCCAAAGAAGAAGTACTATGGGGCCTATGGGTAACCCCAAAACGAACTGGAATGGAGACTATAGGTACTGTAGGGTCCGCAGAAACCCATTTTTCGTGTATGCAAAAGACCTTGCGATATTATGGATGTTCACACTCTAGTATATTGGGATATTATACTTTAAATTATGTACTAGGTACATGTTATTCTATGCTGTTTGTTCTACCATATGATGAGATATGATCTCCCTTTTCAGATGGATGTCATCGTCCTGGACGCTGCGCCGTTGACTATTCTGGCCGCACTAGGACTGGAGACGCAGGCAGGCTAGTAGCACCTGTTCTGGTTGGGTTTACTTAAAGGATCATGGGACTTAGTAAGTAGGGTTATAATTAGGGTAACTATATACTTATAACCCCAATTAAGGGACTTAACCTTACTTACTAAGTCCCATGATCCTCCAAGTAGGGTTTAGGGTTAAGAGAGTACGGTTTAGGTTTTAGAGTTAAGGGTCACATCCATCAAATAGAGAAACACAGAAGTTTGCACGGCAACTGTAGAAGTATCATCACACATGGGTTTACATGCAAACAAAGTGAGCGAGTGCCCTGTAAGCCCCGAGCCTAAACTCTAGAACTGCAGAGGTTCATGCACATAGCTGCGACATCTGCTGCAGGCCACCATTTTTGGTCTGCGATGGCTCCTCTTACGTCTCTACCTGGGCCACTGGCCTATATGACTTCAGTTGGAGCTTTCTGCAAATGAGGGATTGCCCCTTTTGGGTATCCTCACCCTTTTGGGTGCCTCTGACGGTATATTGATTCCCATACATTCCGAACCTCCTGGCATTGGCTTGCGTAGTCATCCCTTGGGTAAGCTTTAAGCTGGAAATGGTGAAGTTCTAGGAGCCGAAGAGCCCCAAAAAACTGCAATTTCTTCCGTGATTTCCCAGTTCCGCTTCTCAGTTTCAACCCTAAACCCTAAACCCTAAACCCTAAACCCTATCTTCTTTTTATACTGGAGTTGTTCTTCTTTTTTTTTTGCTTCACGGGCTTTCGTGGGAGGATAACGGTTCTGAAGGTTCTTGCCAGGGCTTTAATCGGGCCTTCCAGCAAGGATACATCATACACCATGTAGGGCTTGATGTTGGCATTTAAGGGTGCCTAAACCCTAAACCCTAAACCCTAAACCCTAAACCCTAAACCCTAAAGCCTCCTCAATCAGGCTTGCTGTGAGGATTTACTGTAAATTCCTGAATTTGGGGGATCCCTGGCCACAGGCATCGATGCGAAACTGGGCTCAAGACGTTTGGACATGCCCAGAAGACCTTTCTGCAAGACCTGGTTTAGGGTTTAGGGTTTAGGGTTTAGGGTTTAGGGCTTTCTTCATACCTTCATAACACTACCTGTAGTCTCCATTGTAGTTCCTTTTGTTGGTTTAACCAAGTATATATTATGGACTCTATAATGCATCCCCCCAAAAGGAACTACATTGTCCCTGAGAGCTAGGGCTTAATTCAATTCGGCGTCTACCAGAAAGGTCACAGCCCTGTCAGGTTTCGGGGTACGTACGTTTCTATATAACGGACCCATCAGATGCCTCAAACAAGGGGTGGGGTAGGACCCTCTAATATAGGGGCCTAATCATCTTAATAATTAGAATTGGGTTTGGGGTATACTATATCATAATTATGATAAGGAGTCCCCCCTAAAACCCTATTCTACTTATTACTATACTATAATTATAATACGGAACCTCCCCCCCCAAAAAAAAATAATAAAAAAATATTCTACTTAATATGGCCCTGACATTAGGAGACATGAAGCTGTTCAATGCTGCTGCGCCCAGCTTCCGTGAGGTGGAGGGGCCGTAAAGTTGCTCAGCTGCGACGAGAGCTGCTTGGCTTGGGGTTGAGGGTTTAGGAGTTTTAGGGGTTTTAGGTTTTAGGGGTTTTAGGTTTTAGGGGTTTTAGGGTTTAGGGGTTTTAGGGGTTTTAGGGTTTAGGGGTTTTTAGGTTTGGGGTTTAGGGTNNGGGGGGGGGGGGGGGGTTGTGGTTAGATCGTTGTTGAGGTTTCGGCTTTGGGGTTTTCTTGGCGGAAGACTCCGCTTAGGACGAAGTGCTGCGGCCTTACTGAAGTGGGTGTGTGCCTACCTCATGCGAGATTGTATTTTTTTTGAAAAAAGCCGTGGAACCCGGGACGCGGCCTAAAGAGCCCAAGTCTTCTAGCCTTATGGTTTAGGGTTCAGGGTT